GGGGGGGGGTCTGTCCTGGTGCGTGGCACAGATATGGGGAGGAAGGTCTGTCCTGCTGCGTGACACCAGTATGGGGGGGTCTGCCCTGCTGCACTGGTACCGAGGGGTCTGTCCTGCATTCACGTACCTGCTGCTGGGGGGGTCTGTCCTACTGCATGGCACTAGTGTCCAGTGTGTGTGTGTGGGGGGGTCAATCCTGCTGCACGGCACTGGTATGGAGGTGGGAGGGGAGGTTTCCCCAGTGTCAGACCCCAAGGAGATGCTCGTGTCCGGGCAGCCCAATCCTGGCACCTGGGGAGCCCCCCCACTCCTGCAGGACCCACCTGCTGGCATGCGTGGAACCTGCTCCCACATGGGCAGAGATCCCAAAGCCCCTGACTGCCATCAGAGGGGAGGGGGCCGGGGCTCAGACCCGTTTTCATCATGGGCCAGTGCCCACCCACTCCCTTAGGGAAGCCAGGACGCTGGAGACACCCTGCGAACATGGGTGCAGGGAAGAGGTCCCAGAGCACGGGACCCAAGGATGTGGCCTCAGTAGCCATCATCATCATAAGAGGGATGGATGGGGTCTCCGTGATGGGATGTGATGAGTCTGGCAGGTCTCAGACTGGCTGGTGAAGCCTGCAGTGAGCAAAGGCGGCACCGCGCCACCGCCAGGGACYGTCACGTCTCCCAGGCACCTGCAGYGGGAGGAGGGGACAAGGGGAAGGCTCTGGGGGACCTGCACGGCCTCATCTAGTCCCACATCCTGGGAGAAGGTACCCTGGGATCTCCTGCTGCTGCCACCGGAGCAGAGCGCCCTGTGCAGGGTGCAGGGAACAAGCGGGTGCCCCWTGTCCCAGGGGCAGGAGGCAAGAGCAGGCACACACCACACTGAACAAAGCGTCCCCAAAGCGTCCCCAGCCGTGGGTGCACGTTGGGCTCTCTCCTTGCGGCATCTCCCTCCCGTCCCCAGCCACGTGCAAGGGCACACGCCTGCCATGCACCCACGTGCATGTTTATGCACGCTCGTGCACGCTTGTGCGCGCTCATGCATGCTCGTGCATGCTCATGCACGCTTGTGCACACTCATGCACGCTCATGTATGCTCGTGCACGCTCATGCACGCTCGTGCACGCTCATGCACGCACCACGTGCACCCGCGTCCACGCAGGCATCTGCGTGCGCAGGCGTGCGCGTCTGCGCGCCGCGCCGAACCCGGCGCTTTCCAGCTGAACACAATGTTTAAATAAGGGTTTTTTCTCCTCCTCCCTGCTGCGCGCGGCCCATCTGTCCCCCACCCCTGCGAGGTGCCCCCGCCGCCCGCTCGCCACCCCCGCTCGTCCCTGTCCCTGGTGGCCGCGGCACCCCCGGAGCGTCACCCCGCGGAGCGGCTCCCGCCGTGCGCCGGCGTTGTTTTCCGCCTGCGACGCCGTTCCAGATCATCCCCGACACTTGTCTGAATGGGAAGCGTTCACAAAAAGCTGCTGGGTGCTTTCCCAAAAACGCCTGGCTTTTGCTCAAAACCAAGGATAAAAAAAAATGGGATGAAATCAAATCAAAAGCAACATCCAAGCCTTGAAATAAATTGTTTCCAGCAGCTGAATTCCTGCAGTCACTGTCGCTGCTATTCCCCTCTCTGCGGCCAGGCCGAGCACATCTCCTGCCTACCCAAATCAGGGTTTTTTTGACTGGGGGGCAGTTCAAAACCGCATTTTAGCCCCATGTGCATGAGCTGGTCGGCCTGGGATGGCAGGAGACCATTGCAATCCCCCTGCAATTCCACAAAGGGGGATGCTGAGGCTGGTGCCCAGCCTGGCTCAGAGGTAGATGTGGGGAGATGTCCCGGCCTCTGTCCCCGTGCTGACATGGTGACATCCCCTACATGACCGTTAAACATGTAGGAGGCTGAGAGCGAGGACGGGAGTTCAGGGCAGATATTTTGCTGCTGCCAAGAGGCAGGTGCTCCTGTCCCCTTAACTCTGCCCCTTGTAAAGTGAGTCCCAACAGTGTCACCCTCCCGAAAGGGAATGTCACCTTCCTGCACCTCTCCGGACACAGTGACCACCCATGAGCCCAGGCTGGATGCCCAGTGCCCCTGCACAGGGACACGGCATCCAGATGGGCTCGGCTCCGGGCCGGG